CCACCTATCTATTAGCCAGTGATCAAAATTGGACACTACCTAGACTCAAATACCTTGAGTCTTTCGGCCAACAATGCTGCAGATACAATGTAGCCACTGAGATATTCCAGCTAGTTTTAGAGCCTTTGCAATTTTCGTGACAGCAGGGGAAATAACACATTTCCCACCTGTACTCAATACGAAACTATTTCTTAATTAAAAATAACAGTAGAAAAAAGTGGCTGACAGTAAGAAAGTTGCTGTGGAAGTTAGAGTTTGTAATGGGGCCCTGACCTTTCTTGTCAAAACAGAAAAAACGTCCCTGATTTTTGCATCAGGAAGAATAGCTTCGAAATATGTTCTATAGCGGACCAAATATGCACTCGAACAAATTTGCAACTACATATTTTCGGACCCTTGTTCCAATATTTTTTTCTTCTTCTTAATCCTAAATACGACGAAACGACGTTTTCGCGAAGCTTTGCCATTGAGTTCTGGCACATTCTACAAAGCTGTTCAAATTTCCAAGATAACGAAAATGTGTTTTACAATTCGCACACCAAAACTCTCCACTAACTATACAAACTTTTCCTTGAGCTTCATCACAAAATGCAAATATTGGCGATGAAATACGATAAAATGCATGCTTCACGACTCGAAACATTTTATAACCTGACTGATCACACGTTCAGAGCTCACAAATAGTTTACAATATTAATCACATAGAATACAGACCCATCAGTAGCGTAAAAAAACAAGACCTCCATTTGCAAAGCTTTCCATCAAGACATCCTTTTCCTTTTTCAAACGTCATCAACCCTGTGACAAAGAGATTCGCCAAAAAGCCAAGTGTTAAGTTCTACTTAACTATCGATACTGCTGACATTTCCTAAAACGAGAACTAAAAGTTCCTGAACCCGAAACTATTTCAAACAATGTTCGCCAGATATGATACATCTATATAGCACAGATTATTGCTTTAAACACAATATTAATGCTTAATACTAGCTTACATTTTGGCACAAAGGGTCAATTTGCAATAATAATTGAGCAGGCTGGGAAAACCATCTCTTGAGTGTATGTTAATAAATTAACATATTGCTTATTATTAAGTAACAGTATTGCTGAATTATGAACCGAGAAAAGCAAAAATGAAGAAACTACCTTGCAATTTGTATGATACAGAGTTGGGAACTATTACTAAACATGCTTTCTACAGAATAAAGAATATTTACTTGTCTTCGAGGTCAAGGAATTGAAATACCACTATTCACTTTAAAAATGGAGTAGATTTATTTTGTTACCTTTATGCTCGAGTCACCAATCTCATTATGGTCTTTAAGACATTCATTGGTTACTAAAAAATTGCTTGTTTTCCGTTAATTTTGTTTTCTCCATTTTGGATACGAATATACTCAGGAGAAGAAGAAAAATTTTCCGCACATAAAGAAGTACATTTTCTGAAACTACAAATCAGAGTACCAAATATGTAATGACATCATGGAGCAAAATTAATAACCGACTTATTTTGCGTGGATTATCAAGTCGTTTATGAATGATTTAACCATTAGAAGGATATTCTCATCAGGAAAAAAATTAATGATCTCAAGGCTATTCATGCACGCCTCATGTCGGTGAGATCTTAAATGCTATTGAGGGCAAATTCGGAAGAGTCTCACACGGGACATTTCTAACACGACCAGAACCACAGCAAACCACATCAAGAGCTGAATATAACTTAAGAAAAACCAGAATTTATACAATTTTTATATGATGTTGCATTGTTTAAATACTGCAATCGTCCAGATGCATTCATAAATTTCATTAAAAGAGCTTCATTAGAGACATTTGGGTAAAATATTTAAGGTCACAGGTTTTTTTCATTAAAATTTTACAAGAACTTGTACCTACTCATATCGTCTTTAAACACAATGTCATAAGATCCCAGATGAGACTAATCCGAGACTAGCATACGTCTAAACAATGGTCAACATGACACGCAGCACGATCAACATCTCGAACACACATCTGAACTGCAAATCAACACCGATCCCGTTTAGGCCGCAGCATTCTGTATCCAAAACATATATAAATCGCAAATATTAGCATAAGTTAAATGCTATTTCTTATGTCCAAGTAATGTGGGAGGTTACCGCTCAAATTTGTGTGAATGTATGGCACATAATACAAATAGATAATAATACCAAAATGATACTATCAAGAATTCTCATTTTTATAACTAATTCCCTAACACTTCAACATACCTAATATTTTGCAGCACACACCAAAAATCATTGTTACTTCTGCTAGTATATCAATATTTCACACAAAACACAATAGAGAACAATGGCAGTCATTTACAGTTTGTTTTCAACTCTTAGAGCTTCCAATATTAAGATACTGATTACTGAAATTTTAAGAGCATTGAAGACCTCAAATCTTTGGAAGCACAAGAAGGCAATTACATAGAAAATGACAGACGCACCATTCAAGTAAAAGAAAAAAACGGAAATCAGCAAATGTGTTCCAAAAGCAACACGACAATAAAAACGTAAGCCGAATATAATTTACAAAATATTTATAATAGAGTATGTGCATAACCCGCTCAAACTTCACATAGGCAAATACTTATTACATGAAATACATCTCCCAATGCATCATCTCTTTTATTCATCTCTAATGGAAAACGGAGAAAAAATTGCAAAAGAATGAAGAATAGCTTTGTTGCAATTAAAAATTGACTCCCAGGACTTTACATTACTACTGAATTAAAAGAATAATTCTGTATGCTCCTGAACAAACCTGTTTGCCACCCTCAAAATGGAAAGAAAATCAACAATTTGAATTACCAGCATACAAAAAAACACATCTAATAAAACATTTACGATAATAAATTTAAGATAAAGTGTATCATATCCCTGGCATTTTCCTACATTAATAATAATAATAATGCATCTGTCACTTTCTACACTTGTGATAGATAACACAAATGCAATGCATACAGGTACCCAGAGATGTACAACACTGAGAAACAAAGATATCTACCTAGGACACGGTACATGACAGCTCAAATTGGGTAAAAGCATCTTGTTGGAATGATTCTTCCAAATAGATGATTATTCAAGACAAAGAGATGATATCAGAAAAAGACGGGACCATTTCTGCTTCAAATAGTCAAACTTCCAAAGGACTTTCAATCAAGAATGCATTCTTTGATTTATTTTTACAAAAAGTAATTATTAAAGGAAAACAATCATGTAAAAATAGTCATATTACCCCACAACATCTCTTATAATTAATATATCAACGGTGAAAAGCTGTATAACTATGTTTTGGTAAAATTATCAAAACAAAATAATTGTCATAAATACTTTACATTTAATTTGCCACTGAAATAGTAATTATTCATAATCAATATCTTAATTATGATATCCATATCTGATATTTCAAATATTAAAAATGAAGACCAGAAAATATAGCTCATTGTAGTACAAGCAAAGATATAACATATTGTTCATTTGTCCATTAAGTATAATGCCCTTGACTTATAACATATAATTACATTCCTCCACTGCATAGTGCAGTTCTTAATGAAATTAATTTTCAAATATTGATAATAAAAAACTGAGAAAGAGGAAGGAACAATGTCAAAATCCTAAAACTCAGTATTGGAAATAATAACCTACTTATGTTGAACAAACATTTTTATCCTGACTAATAAAAAACAGGAAATGCGCTATTACATGGAATTAGAATACATTTGTTGATTGTCAGAATAGAAATTTGTTTATATGTTGCAGTTGGAAGTGAGGTAATAAGAAGTAGAATTCTGCATAAACTTGTATTAGATTCGATGATTTTACATCACCTGCATGATTGACAGGTACCTGGAGAGTGAACTAATCAATTCGTGTGTCCTTTAATGTTCTCAAATCCAGGTACGATATCGAAGATGAAACAAAAATTCACAAAGTTCTCCGCAGACATCGGGTATTTCTAGAAGAAACAGGTGGGACTTTTATATCAGGTACTAAGAGGATTGTGTTCGGTCAGAGAAAGCAACTCTACACGCTTTTGTACTCTGTAAAACCACATTCAAGAAAGACAAAACTCTCCATCATAGATACTCATTAAACTACCAACAATTACAACCCCTTGATTACCCAATAGATTTATGAAACCATGATGCAATGACATGGGTACGCTATTGTACAGCATATCCAGCTTCAAACAATGAGCCTCTTGCACCTAATTACGTGACAATATTAGCGGGAATTTTAAATGCAGCCAGATACCTAATTATCACCTTGTTACAGTCATTGAAACAAATATGTGAAGCATTTTTTTAAACGCATTGCATCTTTTATTTCAACTACACCTTCGTGCTATTTTTGGTTGGTCACTGTTGTCACTTTATGCCTCTTTCAAATTGTTTCTCACTGCCACTGATCGCTTGCCATGCAGCATGGCGGCCAAAGTCTGGCCTGGCTTTTGATCGATCACATGGTTCTTGTACCTGGTGTTGCGCTGAGCAAAAATCGGTGCACCGGCCCAGCTCGCTCATGTCCTTGCATCGTGGAGGAAAGTATAGTTGTTTTTTTTTCACGAATTGCATTACGAAGCTAGAAGTACTCCCTGTAGCCGAACACGACATATTATACGTGGGACTAGGAAAGGTTGCAGTGGCATGACTATGGGAGACACATCTACTACAATTGTACATCAAGGGACCTTGCCCTTAATTGTTAACATCTTATTTTTTAATAAAATGAGAACATTTCAATATGATTGTCAATAATCTTTACACTCTCTGAAAGCTTCGCAGCATCCTAATAAAAATAATGCAAATGATTAAATGTTTATATGTTCAAAAATCTTGGAATACATTTCATAATCTGAATATACTGCACACTACAGAGTGTACACATTGATCATATTTCTCACATAGCACAGTTGGGTAGGTAACTTTAAGAAGGTGTAAAGGTTATATTTAATCACGGAGTATAATTTTAGCACCATACCATGTAATTTCTCACAGCATCAATACGACCAGTCCACAAACAGCACACCACAAACTGTGAGAAACATGTAACCACATAAATTGTAATAGTGAGGACTTCATGTCTTTTATCTAGTTCTATTGGCACTATGTTGATTTTAAAAGAAAATACATTTGTACATCTACATCAGCAATATTTCCATGAGCACCTGCCGGCACGTTTTTATGCCACTATGTATTTTCCACCCGTATTCTATGCAGGACATCCTTAAATGAGATTAAAACTTATGCATTGCAGTTTGTCCTTTCTAGTCTACCAGACATAAAAATTTAACAATTGTGCTTATTTTAATCGACTTTTTAGCTGCAAATAAGGTGTCTTAGTACATTGTACATACTGGGAAAATTCTTGAAAGCAAGAAAGAATTTTCTAACACGAGTGATTTTATAAGTATGAAATACAAATATTCCACAATAAATCTATAAGAAAATAGAAATTCATTCAGCTGCACTCATAAAATCGCAATCCGATTGACCCAACGAAATACACCAAAAAAGCTCTAAACACTATGTCCTTACTACCGTAAGGAACTGGCATCTCATGCAAGAAACAATAAACACGATAACACTCAAAACTTGACCTTGATCTCAAGTGATCAGATAAGTACGTACGTAAATGTGCTACATTTCGAGAAACTGTGAGATTATCGAGATGTAAAATAATGAAGAAATGGAAGGTACCAATAGACAATACATAGAATCAAATGAATCCACAGGTCGAGCCATTTCAGTCGCAAAACTAAACATCATCGTGTTCCTCTCAATATCAACAAGAAATCGCTTCACCATCTCAACCTTGGGAGTTTGATTTAATCTCGAATTGCATAGCACTTATCTCACCTGCAGCTCACTGTGTCTTTACCGGCTGACGACATCGCGCTGAAACAAAAGCATTCATACGCACCGCTCGACTCCAACAATCCATAAATTTGCGTGTTATTTTTCATCGTACGTACCCGAATAAAGTACTTGTCCATTCCTGTCAAACACAGTCCGATTCGACTACCACAAGCACATTGCATCGTGGAAAAAGACAAACGACAAACTACTGCGCAAAAACGAATCGTTTTCTCAACCAAATGAACCGCCTCATTCCATAGAACACGCTGTGTTTTTGTTTTCACCCGAAATGACTCTCGCTGTGTGACCGACACATCATACACATTAAGAGAGAAGAAAGAAAAAAGAAAAAGCAACCAGTCGCATCGTAGTACAGAAGCAGAACTCACACCCAGAATACAGTGAAAACTCACGGCACCCGAAAGGGCGGCGCATACATAGTCACGCCACTGTGCCATTGTTACACGGGGACGAGAGCGGGTGTGCGAAGGGCCGACTGCGTTGACGAAGCCCCATGAGGGCAAAGCGGACGCCGTCGCCAGGAACCCGCTCGGAAGCGATCGGACGATCTCGGAAAGAGTCGGCTCAGGGTCGGGAGGGGAGCGCGATCCGTTTCCGGATTTTGGCCACGTTTTGACCACGATTTTGGCCGCCGTCGACTCAGGCCATCGCTATACAGGATGCCCCAGAAGAAATGTTACGAACTTCTAACGCATGAAGAGGTCTCGCAGATGTTCTTCTTTTTTTTTGCCAATGAACGCGCAGTGGAAAATTCCGTACAACGAAGTTACACACGCGGCATTCGTAATACATCGTGCACTGCAGTTTGGCAGGTCGCTTTGTTGCGCGGTGAAAGTGATTTCGTTTACCTGCCAAAACAGTGCGTAATGAGCTGCCGTTCAATCTACAAATCAGGGGGTACATAGAGAGTTTTAGCGTCCTTAAAATGCATTGATCACGTGACTAACGACGTTATACGGTCGCACGGAACAACGGTCAGAAGAGCTTTAGCGATTGCAGCATTGCGTTATGCATTACAACAAAAGAAGCATTTCAAGCGTCGAACAGAGAAGTTGCATAATATATCAGTGTAGACAATTGATGAGACAGGTGAATCACAGCATGAGCCAAGAATAAACACATGTCTATTACACATACAGTTTTGTATTTTATAGTCCTGTTAGATGAGTACGCATTCTGGGGTTTTTGAATTGTCTGGGGTTTCAAAATGTAGGGTATATATAAAGGTTCGTTATGTGCCTTTGACATATCTATTACGAAGATATGATTCCGACTTCCTGTTCGCGAATTTGTACCTGTCACCTTTCGAACATTTTCCGTTAATTCTCGCCCTAATTTGTACGATGGTGAAAAATTAATTTAACTGTCTTATGTACGAGATTCAGTTTATCCGATTTGAAAAAATGCTACCTTTCCTGTTTTTAGACGGTCATTTTGCTGCTTGTTAGGTGAACATAGACTCATTCAGGCATGCATTATTTACGGCAATATAAGTTCGTGCCTTAGGAATCCTTAGTTATGACTTTAAGGCCCGTCACATGGCTGTTGGTGCATAACGCTCATATCTTACGCATGGCGCTAAAACTTCCTACTGTCAGGCATGTAACTTCGTTTTATGATATTTCCCACGTGTTCAAAAGAGCAAAAATAGATCTTCGACACCCTGCGTACCCTAGAAGTCTATATTATTTATTCAGAGTCACTTTAAAGCGGCTGCAATCGGAGGTTCCTGCTTTTACTAGTCCAACGCTGACGACTTGAGGCTGACGAAAATCCCGTCAGGTGAGTTTAGTGGAAACTGCAGGGGCAAGGAATGACCCGACCGATCGAAGTCGGCCTCCGCTCGAAGCGATTAAGAATGGAGCCGATGTTGGCCGAAATTTCGGTCAGACGTGCCGCATTGTCAGATTAGTTCAAACCCGTGATGATTAACGGACATGGTCAAAGTGAACCCGAGCGACCTCTTCCGATGGCGTCCGAAAACACCCGCTGTCGGACGAAGATCTGTTTCTTTCGGTTTTTCCCCGAAATCGCGACCAGTATCGGCACCGCTGTAAGCGCTGCACAAGGGTTAGCCTCACAACTCGGTGGCCCGGCTCCCGATATCCGACGTTCGTGTAACATCGTGTTGAGGCCGTCAGCTTCAGAAAGCGCCATGTCGGGGGGGGGGGGCGAATAGCTTAGCGGGTGCGCGCAGCTCATTTCAGGCGTCTCCGACCAACTTATGACAAACCTCGGCGGTGGGTCGTGTGCGATCACCCCAGATGGAAAACGGAACGACGACCCTCTTGGGAGGGTCCGACGCATAGCGTCGCTGTTGCTGGTTGAGAGGTATTAAGTATTCGGGCACGACAGGCATCTTCGCCGCATTTGAGCCCGTGTCAGGGGGCGACGCCACAAGCAGTCGACCGGGTCCCACTTCACCACCACCGATTTCAGCTCCGGTCGTCCGACGACGCCAAGTGACGTCGAGAGCGGTCGACAAGTTGGACTACGTCGCAATCGACAGGGATGGGAGGGGGAGGGGGAGGGTTGGTACGACTGAGACTGATTCAGCTCGGATCAATGGGAATCGGCATCAGGTTACTCCGCCGACGCTACATCGGGCGGAGTCGAGCAACGTCGGGCAGGATCGGATGAAGTGGGAATGGGTCGGGGATGTTTGAGTGAAGTCGGGAGAGGTCACGCAGGCTCCGATGAAGTCGGGAGCGGTCACGCAGGCTCGGATGAAGTCGAGATCGGCCGTCAAGTTTGAATGAAGTCGGGAGCGGTCACGCAGGCTCGGATAAAGTCGGGAGTGGTCACGCAGGCTCGGATGAAGTCGGGAGCAGTCACGCAGGCTCGGATGAAGTCGGGAGCGTACGGGCGGGCTCTGGGAAGGCGTGGTGTGGGCAGGCTGGCGGGTGGTGCGGCGGGTCGGGGCGGGGAGGGGCGCTTCAGACGATGTCGGGGGAGGCGGCGCAGCTTGCAGTAGGGCGGGCCGCCGCCCATAAGGTCGGAGGGGCGCGGCGGAGGCGGCGGCGGGGGCGGCGGCGGCGGCAGAGCTGTCGGCTCCTGCTCCTCCAGCAGCGGCACGCCTGCCAACACAAACACCGCAAGTGTACTACATGTTTTCTTCCTCGGGAAGTGTTGGTGGTGTACTTCCCCCGTTGGATGGCGAGAGCCGGCGCCGACCTACCGTCGTCTCGCGGGGTTTTCTCCAACCAGGTATCTCCCACCAGCGGGGCACCGCTCGAGCCCGGACAAGCTCGACGCTCACGACCAGTCTCCCGGCACGTGTAGTAGTGTAGTGCATGTTAGTGTAAGTGTGTATAAAATGAAAGAAGAGAGCAAAAGGAAAAATCGTGCACGGTCCGTGGCCCGTGTCTTAGGGTACTGCTCCGGCGTTCGCCTCGTGTTGAACGGAGAAACGACGGAAAACTATCGATCAGAACATCAAGAACTACAATCACTCGCTAAAAGTCTCCTTCAAACAGCGATTGAAATCAACCTAGCTATGTAGCCGTGCAGGTAGTGTCGAAAATCCTGCCACCGTCGGGACTCGAGCCCAGGAGGTTAGAGGGACTACGGTTACATCAGGGGCCATGTCTTCCGGTGTGAATCATTTGTTAATTGCAAAATTATTGGCACCGTTAATTGGACAATATTTATTCATATTTAAAATTTACACGTTTCGAAGCCTGTCGGTTTGGATTCTTCCAAAGATATATTTTCCACAAAAATGTAAAAACACAACTTCGCTTAAAATATTTACAAAATTGTAAAAAAAAACATTAATTCCTGTTATTTATCACCTTATGTCGATAATTCTCCAACGGGCACGATGGGTGTGAAATTCATCTAACACTCTCCATTATGTTCATTTAAACTAAAGGTTATGTATGTTTAACTAACAATCGTATTAAGTTATTTTTAAGATAATCCGCAGACTCTCTTTTTACCCCAAGGATAAATAATGTTTTGCAACATTCTGAAAATTATTGACATAAGATATGATATTTAGCTTCAGTTTTATTTATGTTATAATCTTGTCAGTTTTGTAAGTTTGTTTCTTTGTTGCAAATAATTTGATTTCAATGCTGTTGGGATAGAAATGCCGCTCTTGAAATCTAAATTACAAGAAAAATTCTAAAAACGTGTCCATTTGAGTTTTGTAGAATTATACTGCGGTTTCCGAGTTATATTTTGATGTAATTGTCTATTATGATTTGGTAGACCTGTTTCAAACATTCTCATGCTGGTAAGGAAGACACCTATGAGGATATATTAGAATGTTTTTTTCTGGAAATAACATTATTCTTTGTTATTTGGTACAATACAGTCAATAAAACAAATAAGGAGACTGTTATTTAAGAAAATAGGGATGGAATGACACCAGGCTGTATAAGGAGAGTGTTATTCAAGGAGATCTGGATGGAATACCACCAGGCTGCATAAGAAGAGTGTTATTCAAGGCGATGGGGAGGGAATGTCACCAGGCTGTGGTGCTCGGCGACTGTTATTTCAAGGAGATCTGGAGGAATGCCACCAGGCTGTGGCTCGGCAACTGTTATTTCAAGGAGATCTGGATGGAATGCCACAGGCTGTGGTGCTCGGCGACTGTTATTCAAGGAGATCTGGGATGGAATGCCACCAGCTGTTGTGTGCTCGGGACTGTTATTCAAGGAGATCTGGATGGAATCCACCAGGCTGTGGTGCTCGGCGACTGTTATTCAAGGAGATCTGGATGGAATGCCACCAGGCTGTTGTCTGGCGACTGTTATTCAGAGAGATCTGGATGGAATGCCACCAGGCTGTGTGCTCGGCGACTGTTATTCAAGGAGATCTGGATGGAATGCACAGGCTGTGGTGCTCGGCGACTGTTATTCAAGGAATCTGGATGGAATGCACCAGCTGGATGCTCGGCGACTGTTATTCAAGGAGATCTGGATGGAATGCCACCAGGCTGTGGTCGGCGACTGTTATTCAAGGAGATCTGGATGGAATGCCACCAGGCGGTGGTGCTGGCGACTGTTATTCAAGGAGATCTGGATGGAATGCCACCAGGCTGTGTTGCTCGCGACTGTTATTCAAGGAGATACTGGATGGAATGCCACCAGGCTGTGGTGTCGCGACTGTTATTCAAGGAGATCTGGATGGAATGCCACCAGGCTGTGTGCTCGGCGACTGTTATTCAAGGAGATCTGGATGGAATGCACCAGGCTGTGTGCTCGCGACTGTTATTCAAGGAGATCTGGATGGATGCCACCAGGCTGTGGATGCTCGGCGACTGTATTCAAGGAGATCTGGATGGAATGCCACAGGCTGTGGTGCTCGGCGACTGTTATTCAAGGAGATCTGGATGGAATGCCACCAGGCTGTGGTGCTCGGCGACTGTTATTCAAGGAGATCTGGATGGAATGCCACCAGGCTGTGGTGCTCGGCGACTGTTATTCAAGGAGATCTGGATGGAATTGCCACCAGGCTGTGATGCTCGGCGACTGTATTCAAGGAGATCTGGATGGAATGCCACCAGGCTGTGCGTGTCCGGCGACTGTTATTCAAGGAGATCTGGATGGAATGCCACCAGGCTGTGGTGTCTGCGACTGTTATTTCAAGGAGATCTGGATGGAATGCCACCAGGCGTGGTGCTGGCCGACTGGTTATTCAAGGAGGATCTGGATGGAATGCCACCAGCTGTGATGCTCGGCGACTGTTATTCAAGGAGATCTGGATGGAATGCCACTAGGCGGTGGTGCTGGGCGACTGTTATTCAAGGCGATGGGGAGGGAGTGCCAGCGGGCTGTGGCGCCGGGCGACGTACCCTCGGAGGTGAGCGCGGAGGCGGCGTCGAAGGAGGCGAGCGAGCCGCAGGCGGCGCGGCACGACGCGCTGTGCGAGCTGCAGGTGTGCGACGAGGCCGTGTCCAGCGTCACCGTGGTGCTCACCTCCGACGGCGTCATGGTGTCGGTGGAGCCCGTGCTGTCGGCCCCGCCCCCGCCGCCGGCCGCGTGCGACGCGCTGCAACACCAACGCGCACGGCCCAACGCACGCGGTAAAGCAGCGGCTCTTTGCTTTCGCACTCACGCGACCGCTTGCGCAGTACACAGGAAAGTATATACTGCGGCAGAAGGAATCGGAGGATTTTCTGCAGAAAAACTCTTAATATTAACATTAAGATTTTAAAATTGGTTGTCACAATGTAGTTATATATACTTCTTGTTTAGTGCCTTATTTTAAATTATGGACAACTACAATGAAAACGGCCAAAAATGTTATTCACCTGTGTTAACGTTTCGTTGACTGATCTGTCTCCCGTATTACGTGCAACTGAAAAATTAAATATAAACCTTTTCATGAAGACAAAATTATTTTTACAAAATTACGAGAAAACAAATAACTTAATACTGTACTCAGTGCAATGAAAGCTCACCTGTTATAACGGAAAACTACAACTAATATATACTTATACCTTACATACATACAGTATAAGCACAGCCAGTGTATACTAATATATGCTATACTGTATTTGGCACATTTCATTTTGATTGTCCATAATTTAAAATAAGGAACTAAACAACTCTTATTACGGGGCACTGGTAACGAAGAAAGTGTATGAATATAGATGCTTTTTTAGTAACAAAATTCCTCTTTCACATAGTATAGCCAAAATCCAGGTTTGCGGGTCGTGGATACCGAAAAATCGAATGACGACAAAACATCTGTCCGTCTGTGAACAACGCTAGCGGCTAAGCCATTCAGTAGATTTTCTCCAAAACTGTTATTCACCAATAGATCTGGATGATGTCATGGCCCGTTGAATTTGAAATCGATATTTTAATTTTGAGGAGTACTGAACATGAAGCCCCAGGACATTTCCAAAATTTTCAAAAAAAAAAAATTGGCACCAAAGTTATTGATTAAACTTTGTTGTTGGATAGTGTGAAGGATGTTTAAAACACTTTTTTTAAATTAAATTTGGACCTTAGACAGCATAAGAGAATGGTGCAGGTCTCAACTTCGTTAAAATGCCTGAGTTTTCGAACATTTTCGGCGTCTTCCTACAACTACAATTGTGAAGACACAATTTTTGCTCTTAATCAAATGTGTTTAGCAAAGACTGATCTTTGAATAAGAGCATATTGTATTTTTCGAAAACTAGTATTTTCTAATTAATTGGCGTCAAAAATAGTCGCCAGATCCAAACTTACTGTGCTTCGTAAACATAAAATGAATGGTGATGCTAGGCAGTTAGAAGCTAGAATGTTGAATTTTATATTATTTCTTTGTTCGTTTCTTACATTGGAGCTTTTGTTATACCTTTAAGTATTAATATTTTAGACATTATTTTAAACATTTTAAATTGGGTCATTTAATTGAGTTAAATGCGAAAACAAATATATGAAGTCGCTTTGCGAATGTGGAAATGAAGAGTAATGCGAGTAAAAACCTAACAATTTTGATGAATATAAAAGTATATTTAATTATTATATTTTTCTATCCATTTTCCTTTTATTGTAAGCGGTATCAACAATGCCAATTAGCAACATATGTATCCCATGAATTACTGGTCATTGTTGCATGATGCAACTCCTTGTTGCACCGCCGTACTAATAACTGAAGGTGATAATGACAGCTGACTTTCGTTCGCGTTAATATAAACTAATAATTTTATTAACGGCTACAATACGCATCATGTATCGTTGGTACATTTATGTAAAACGTAAATATACTGAATTCAATGGAATAAAGCTGCTTTCGTTTAAGCATTTTAATTTAGAAAATGTATTTTTCACGCTTAGTTTGTTGGCAGTTGAAGTGTATGACAGAAATTGTTATATTATAATATTACACAGCCATTAAGAATATCGCGGCAAGGTACGTGCTGTTGTAGCACCAAAAAACGGCTTATGTAAAACGTTTGTTGAGGAAAGAGTGTTTTTGTATACGGTCAAATTTTTCGAAATATTACTACGTCCGTCACCTGTGGGAACTTCTGTGTACTAAAATGA